AATTTTCAAAGAAATGAGTTATGTATATTACGCATATGCCTTCCAAAGCTAAACTCATACGGGTAATTTCTTTAAAAGATTTCTAATTTCATTTCAGCTAATGCATCTCAAGAGACTTCATATTTCTTACGTCAACTTTTAAAAAGTGTATGTATATGTCTCCCTGTCCAGAAAGTGTGTCACTATGGAATATCTTATATACTATAATCAAACAGGATTGAATTCCGTCGAATTTCTTTGGAATTGACTTCTTTCTTCTTTTCTGTGCCGTGTCCCTTCAGGACGTAGACAATCATAGCCCCTCCAACCTTTCTTGTACCTTGTAGTTCTTAATAAGTTCTGTCTTTTTTGTTATTTCTCTCAGACCCTCTTCTGCTATCCACTTACTGATGCGCATTAAGTTGTTACGAGTTGTCTCCCCTGTCCCTCATTCTCTCTATCCGTCCTGTGAATATCAGATTTTCCAAGCCCTCCTTTCTCTTTACTTACCAGAAATTCCAGTTACTTCCTCCTGATGTTATGCATAAGTTTCCTCCTTGTTTCCATTCTCTCCACAACATGTCGGTACTTACATGTTTGAACTATTGCTTCCTTAGCATCCTTCTGTAGAATCCCATTGCTATTGCTTTGAGTCTCTTCTTCATCTTTGAGAAGATGGTCAAGTTTTCGCTGCCATACAGGAGGACAAATATCACATAGCAGGTCAGTAATATTTTCTTTGTTTCTACTGAAACTTTCCTGTCTCGTAATACTCTGCCTAGCTTTTGCAATGCGTCTTTGGCCATCCCAATACTTCTTCGGGTCTCAGTATCTCTTGTGGAGTTATTTCGCAGTGGAGGCTTGTATTTGTACTAAGTCGGTCCTAAAATACGTTCGACGTACAAAACGTTAGGAACTTGATATAATAGGTATAACGCAGAGTAATCTAGTTGTGGACGCTGATACTTTAGTATTCGACTAACTGTCGTTCGACATCGACTGACTCACCGACTGACTCGTTACTCTTACTACTCCTACTTGTTATAGGAGGGAGAGTCTATTAACTATAGAATAGGTGCGTTCCACTATAACAGTATCGTTCTTTGCGTCCTTTGTGAGAACACTTCCCAGATAGTTAAATTTCTGTATCTGCCTGATTTTAGCGTTCCCGATTTGTAAACCGCATTTGGGGCTCATTTTTTGTTGGTGACCATGCATTCTGTCTTCTTGTAGTTTATGGTTAGTCCCTTATTCAAGCTATCCTTCGCTATCTTCTGTAAGATGCTTTGTAGTTTGTTTTCCGTGTCTGCTATCAGAACTGTGTCATTGCATATCTTATACTGTTAAGATTTTGTCCGCCAGTGACGAATCCAGGTAGAATTTCCAGTTCTCTCAGAATTGCCTCGCTGTATAGGTTGTATAAATCCGGTGCGAAGACACATCCTTGCCTTACACCCCTTTCTATTTTTGTACATCTGCTGAAACCATTTTTTTTATCCATATGCAGGCGGTTTGCTGGCAGTAGAGATGTTTGATTATTCTAATCCCGCTCCTGAATATTGCTGAGTAGCACTAACAGATATTTGTGGCTGACTTTCTCGAACCCTTTTGCGAATTTTATAAAATCAGGTACACGTTCTTCTGTATTTGTATTGCAGGGAATTGACTTAAGCCACAAATATTTACAGCGATAAAATAGATAGAAAAATGAGTTTATATAAAAGAAATCGGTTTTGCAATACTGTTAAGGTTTTATTTTTAAAATATATTTCTTTCATAATATCTCCTGACTATTTGTGTTATCTCATTAAATTATATTTTTTAGAAAACATATAAATAATTATCAGGCCTGAATGCTTTATTGCCATTTCTTTTATAAATTCTCCCGTATGAAATACGTAAAGGAACAAAATTTAAAACCACTTTAAATAGTTTCATAATTTCATTGATTCTATCAAGAAAATTAATTCCAGGACAAATTTGCTATCATGTGATTCGAACAACGCTTCTTCATATCTTGCTTTATCAGCTGAAATCTCCATCATAGAATACGTGTAAGAAATTCTTCCTCGTTTATCATATTTGGTACCATCGATTACTTATTTCTTTCAAGCAATCCAACATTTGTTAACTAGTCAAAATATTAAAGACGCGTTCGATGTTCAAATGCCATTGACAAATTTCTTGCGATATAGTAAGAGTGATTTTATCATGCAGGAATCCGAAAACTTCCGGGAATTTTGCTGAATTCATAGAAAGACAAAGAAAACATTTTCTACGGTTGTAGAAAGTTGTCACACACGAAATGACAATTTTTTGGTTGGTTGTTTATCTGGTCGTCTATCGAAGTATAAACTTCTTAGTATATAAAAATATCTTGATTTATTCCTGACAATTTTTATTTCAATATATTGTTAATCATAAGCCCAATGAAAATAATTAAAATGAAACAATGTCCAGCAATGTTATAGTATAAGTACAAACAGAGAAAAGAATCATTTTGACATTACATGCTATGAGAAATGGATACTCTCATTAAGAGAGTAAGCCAGTGGTTAGATGCAAGGGGATCACGAAAACAACACCCAAAACGTCCACTGCACATTAAATCATAATAGTTACTGTATGGCGATTATTCAAAGACTTATACATTATTCATCCTTGCCTAAAAATGCACGAAAATCATCCTAGACTTTTGAATACCGATGGTCCAATTTTGCTGCACGACAACGCACGGCCTAACTCTTCTGAGGAAACTGTAAAGCTGCATAGCCTGAATTATTTGAAATTTTGCCTCATCCTTCATATTCAGCTGATATCTCTCCTACTGATTATTACATATTTAAGCATTTATATCTTTTATACGCTATTAAAAATTATCCAATAAGAGGTAATCGAAGCATTTGTACTGTTTATCACATCAAAGGATGAGACTTTTTTTAAAGATGGGGTCAAGAATTTAGAGGTACATTGGAAAACTAAATAAGTTAGTAATTTAACATTTCAGAAGTGTTTCCTACATTTCCTATAAAGTGCGACATTACATGTGCGACAACCTAATGTTTGTACCCGTTATTATGCGTTAATTAATTATGACTTTAATATTTTAACCAGAGAATTTTTCACCATTATCATTAAAGAACATTATCAATTGAAGTTGCCTCAGACTCTGTATATTAACTCAAAGCAACTTTGTAATCAGAAAGAATGTTTGCTTGGTCCTTAGTGTAATCTGTAATAGTTTTGATTCTCTGGTAGTATTTTTCCTTAACTTCATAATTATAGTCGTCGTTAAAATATTTATACGTTTTCTCTTCGATTGAACTCTGAAGCGCGAGGTGCAATAGTTATTTTCTTCAATATTTCCGTCTTGTTCATCCTTGCATTTAAAATTATATTATGTGAATATAAACATGTTTAGTATCTCTATTTTAATGTAATAATATTTCTACTCCCATAGATCAAAAAATATAACTAATTGTACTAAAGAAGTAAAAGCTGGGAACCAATTGCACACACGTAATAAATATTACATTATATGTCCCCATGATAACTTTACGTAGAACAATTTTTCCCATGCACATACATCTTTATTAATCATGAAACAGAAAGAACATTATAAACAATTTCTTCCACCATTACAATTGACATTCTTTTTGCAAACATCCTTCTTCCTGATTACACACATTAAAGAAAGCTTGTTAACCGGATTTATCTCGTTCAAAATTAGAGCGAGTTGCTTTTTTTTTAAATCTTAATCTTCATAAGGGTAAAAAAAACACAATTCAGTTGACAACAGACACATGAATATTAAATGAAATTGATTCATGTATCGCAGAAATAAAGCAAAAGACGCAGTATCAAATTCAAGCATCTGATAACTGCTTTCTATAATAGTAACCGATCATCCTAGTTGATTATAATTGTATCCATCATTTTACTTCGTTTTGGACAGAAATAAACAAGAATAATGCTATATAAAAGGATAGGTCAAAACTGATAAAACTCTTTTCAAACCTATGCATTTAATCGATTATTTAAAGAAATCATTGATATTTTAATAAAGAATTAAAAGCTGATGATAATATTTTAAAGTTTTTACACTTTCAGAAATCCATTTTATGAGATCTGCTATCTTTAAATTCCAGTGCTCTTTTATAAAAATATAAGCGAATCTGTGAAACCTTTCTGTATATTTCCCTAATTTAAAATGTCAACTTCAGTCGGATATTTTAAATTATTTTGCACCCCAAGAAAGGTTATAATGCCACTAATACGCAAGCGGTTACTGAGAGTGTAAAAGAATGAAAAAATCAATTAGGAGAAAGGACGCTAAAAGAACAGGATTCAGAAAGAGATAATTTGACGGTTGGCGTTGAAGTTAATTTTTTGAAGATCGTAAGTTGTAGGGAAGCAAGAAACAGGAAGACAATACCAAAAGCGAGACGTGGGAGAAAAAAATTAGAAGTTACGTTTATATGTGACTATTTTAGCAGTAAAACAATGAGTCCTATTTGCCAATCTAGTACAACCCTTCAATTCATGCGTTCAAGAAACCATAGAGGAGAGCTCATTAGAGCTCTCGTATCAAGTCCATAAATGAACAAAATTTACAACGACTTTAAATGTTTTTAAAATTTTACTGATTCTATCAAGTTAACTCCAAGGGGAATTGACGACAGTGAGATTCAAACAGCTTTCCTTTCGATTACTATAACATTTCTTATCAAGTAAAAAAAAAAACATTAAAGATGCGTTCAATGTTCAAATACCATTGGCTGGTTGGATGATTTTGTTTAGCAGTATATCAACCTTCATGGGTTATTTAATGCCGAAATCTAAATATTTTGAACACATTTTTATGGCTTCAGCTAAATATCTTTATTATACTAGAACTTTGTGAACTTTGATGGCTTGCCTGCTTGCTTGTGTGTTTGCCACCGTGCACACGAATTCATATATAGAGAGTGGGGAAAAGAAAGATGTAAACGTATTATATAGGAAGAGGGGGAGAGAAGGAAATGGCATGTATACAAGAAAAAAAAGTCTCTGTCTTTCAGCAGCTCTTTTATTCCACCGTTCTCTCTTTCCCCCTCTCACTCTTTCCACCTCTCACTCTTTCCACCTCTCCCTTTCCACCACTCTTTCTTTCCGTCTGTATCTCTCTTTCCACCTCTCTTTCTTTCCACCTCACTCTCTTTCTACCTCTCTCTCTTTCCACTGCTCTCTCTTCCCATCTTCCCGTGATTCCATGCGTGCTCATTTAAATTTCAGCTTTCTTTAAACAAACAATATTTTAAATATTTAAAAATGTTTTTTTGTCATATTTAAAAATATTTTCAAGTGAATCTGATTTAAAAATACGATTTGTTTACACGGTAAGTATTTTTATTTCAACTTTCTTCAAAGAGACAATTTTTTTAATGTTGAAAGCTACTTCAGTGTTTTATAATCTGAAGCTTCAGTGACTCAACACGTCACGGGTAGTAAAATGCTAAAAGTTTTTGAATCGGGTGTCGTCGGGCGCATAATGATTTAAGTTACTTTCCACCTCTCTTTTCCACCTCTGTCTTTTCATCTCTCTATTTCCACTTCTCTCGCTTTCCACCTCTCTATCTTCTCGCCTCTTACTTTCCACCACTCTCCCTACCTTTCTCTTCCACACCTCTCTTTCCACCTCTCTCTTTCCATATCTCTTTCCACCTTTCGGTCTTACCACCTTTCTCATTCCACCTCTCTGTTTCCACTTCTCTGTCTTTCCACCTTTCGCTTTCCACTTCTCTGTGATTGCGTGCAGCTGTCTTTAAAAAAGCAACATTTTAAGTATTTAAAAATATTTTTTGGCATAATTAAAAATATTTTCAAGAGAATATGATTTAAAAAATCTTTTGGCTAGTTAACTTCCCTTGAAAATAACACTGGCATATCATGTTAACATATACATTTACCAAAATTACACAAAATATCTTGAAATACTAAAGAGTAAATTTATTCAATAAAATCGGCATTGGCTTAAACCACGGCCTCCAAACGACTTCGGAATCTCCTGCAAATTTCCTGGACGGTCTCTTGATGAATGCTGCCATAATCCTTTCCTTCAGTTCATCTTTGGTGCTTCAAGGAGTTTTACTGGTTCAACTGCGCCCTACACATAATTATCAAAGGCGTTGGAGTCTGGGGCGATAGGTGGCCAAATGTAAGTGGTGATTTGGTCGCAGAAACTGTCTGACAAGCGGTGATGTGGTCGGAGAAATTGTCTGACAACGATGACTAGGTTCTTCTGCTTGTGTGATATGGTTGCACAGTCCTGTTGCCAGACATAGAGTCTTCCAGCAGCCACCCTCTTAACCCAGGATAGAACGACCTTCTCTAGCCACTTGGAATTGGCCTCCGTGTAGAATCTGAGGCGCTGTGTAAAGATGAATGGAGGCATAACGTCGCCATCACTAGTGGTTACTTCATGATGTTAACAGAATATATCATCTAACTCTCACCGAATCCTCTGTACTGTCCTCAGATTGAGACCCAAACACGCTGAAATGTTCGTATTGAAGCTTCTGGTGCAAATGCCAAACCGTACAGCAAGCCGTTTCTAAATTTCTGAAGAGTGAATTACGTCATTGTGCTTTTTTTCTCACAGACGTTGCCCAACCTAACCCTACTCTACTGTGCAGTCGACCAACTCAAAATCATACAATGCGCATGCGCAAAATTAAAAGTATAAAATGGCGTCAATTTTCATATCGCAAACTGTATATGTAATAAAAAAATATGCATTTTGTTCCTCACTATTTGGTATAACCCTAAAATTCAAATACGGCATGAAAACTGAACGTCTTAAAATTTAAATATGAATATTTTTAACCCACTTTTAAGATAGAAAAGCATGTGGAATTCTTGCTTTCAAGTTCATTTTGATATTCAATAATTCTAATGTAGTTTCAATCGTTGCTTTCTGTTTTCTTAATTCATGCTATTTTATTTTTCCCCTCCTTAATAAGATTCTAAGGAATACAGAACAACTCCAAGAGTTTCAGGAAAATATTGATAAACAACTGCCTTTGGGGTTCCATTCCGGGTGTTATGTATACACCCGGTTATGAAAAACTTTGGAAATCTTTGATGCATATATAATGTACGTAAAATAAACATAAAATGCATTACGTGTTTTCGAAGCTAAAAAAATGCGAAATTGCATATATAAATGTGAATAGTACATAACTTTATCACAAGTGAATGCTTTTTAACAGATGTATTTTTATTTTATATACAAAAGATACTTAAAATATTTCAATCTGTCCTATTTTCTACGATGGCCAGTTATCTTATATTATTATTAGTCTTCACCCAACCAACGTTTCAAAATCTGACTAAATCACCAAAAAACATAATTTTTTTAAGACATTTTTCTTTGGATGTACATCTTTTCAGTATCCTCTTGTACTGGATAAAATTCTGAAAAAGTAACCCTTAAGAAATAAAGTGAAGTGTGCATATTTGATATTCTTCAAAAACGGAATTGTATTATGGATGTTTACGTCGTAAGTTATGCTTAACGTAACAGTTTTACGTGTAAAAGTGATCTTCGAAAGATATTTAAGTGCGTTTAGGCCATAAACCTTTTGCATATCATGAGAGGGTGACTTAAGTGTCTTATCTAATGGAGTGACTTAAGCAGAATTAGAGAGAATAGCAGATCTAAATGTTCATGGTGGATTCTTTTAATACCTCCCGTATGTTAAATATATCCAGCTTATCACCCAATGATGCCATTCTGTCTGTAAAACACGCAAGAAGTCACCTCACCATAATATTGAACAGGTCCACTTAATCGTTCGATGTCCGTTTAATCTGATTTAAGTGAGCGAGCCAAAATTTCATATTCTAAGAATTTTCAAGCGAATTAACAACGGAAGTTGAGTTCACCATTTCAGCTCGCCTATGGCGTGAGTTACGAGATGACTTTGTGCAATATTAAGGGATTACATGAATAAAACTTCGCAGCTGCTATTTAGTTTCAGTTTATAAATACAAATCTGAGACGAAGCGAGATCCTTTTTCAATAAAAAAATGTACAAAGTAAATTCTAAAAAGTAAAATATTCACTTACATTACAGAAGACAAAGACAAAGGAAAATGACAGAAGTCATCATAGAATAGACTTACTTGTGTATCGAAGCAGAAAAAAGTGTTGTTGCGTCAGAGTTACAGGTAAATTCAGTACTTCCATTGGTTGTCCCATTATCATAAAAATGTTGTATACAAAACTAAACGAATAAAATTAATATGAACACATACATACGCGTATATATATATATATATATATATATATATATATATACACACACACATATATATACTGAAATAATCGCGCGCACATACATATTAACATATATATATTTATACTAATATATATATATATATAAAGAAATATAGTCTTGTGCTATATTTATGGGATAAAATTGAATTCAGCACTCAGAGGCGACAGGCTGTTTCATTCCAGACTCAATCCTCAGGCCACGAGTGCTGTTTTTTTTTTCTCGGCTATTTATATATACGGATCACTGGTGCGCGGGTAGTCTATTTTAGCGGTTATTTTGCAGGGATTGGTTTATTTGTTTATTTATCTATTTATTTATTTGGGTTAAATTATTTTGCTTGTCTTATTTATTTTTATTTTTTATTTTTATTTTTTTATTTCTTATATTTTTATTTTAATCGGAGTTTTATTAACATAGTAAAAATTGTTATATCGCTTATTTAATAGTTATGTTTTGGTTTGGGAAATAATTAATGCTATCTATTCAATTTCGGGGTTGATTCTTGTAGTTTATTCTAACTATTATTTTGGCGGGAGCAGTTTTTAATTTGTTTATTACATCATGCATTTATTTGGATTGATTATATTTATTTGATTTTTCTAACTGTTAATTTATCGTAATCGGTTTGTTAGTTTGTTTATTTATTTGGATTAATTTATTTTACTTGTTTTTTTATTATTAATTTATTATACTGTATATTTTTATTTACTCTTTTCGGTTTTCGATTTTTAAGTAATGTAGTATTTTTTTATCGTTATATAACAGTTATAGCGATGTTTTCGTCCGATTTTTGGTTTGATTTTTATAGTCTAACTAATATATTGGTCATAATGGTTTGTTAACTTGATTATAATTTACTTTATTTATTTGGGTTCATTGATTTGCTATTTTATTTTTTATTTATTTATTTATTATATTTCGTCTATTCTAATGGATGTGTTTTGGTAACTTGTTTGGGTTAATTTATGTTACTTATTTTATTGTCATTTTGTTTATTAATTCATTTTTTATTTTATTTTATTTTATTTTTTTCAGTTTTCGAATTTTAAGTAACGTAGTAAAAAAAATTATTCATATCTGCGTTTTGAGATGAGCTCGAATCGTTTATTTAATAATTTGTTTTGGTCTGGGAAAATAATGGTAGCTGTTTTTTCCTCCAAGCAAAGTTTGCAAGTTTCGGATTTTGCAGGCTGATGATCTTTTCCTTATTTTCCAAGATATGTTTGGTGTGATGTGCGTTTTGTTTTTAATTTCCCAGATGTACTTAGAAAGCATTGTGCTGTTTGCATATGTACTATTTGTGAAAGATGTTTTGTGTTTTAAATGTTTTAAAGGAATTTGAGATACAAAAAGTAGAAACGCAGACTGAAATATATATATATATATATATATGTGTGTGTGTGTGTGTGTGTGTGTGTGTGTGTGTGTGTGTGTGTGTGTGTTGATGCGCGCGCGTGTGTGTGTGTGTGTGTGCCTTTAAACGTCATGATTAATGAAAATTCGTCTTTGAGCAGGCGCTTCGTTCATATATTAAACATTATATATATTCACCTACGGGCTTGAAATTTAGATAAATATTATTAAAGAACATTTCAGCTCTTTGGCAGCAATCGCACCTGCATCTCTCAGTGTAGAGAAACACACACACACACACACACACACACACACACATATATATATATATATATATATATATATATATGGAGAGAGAGAGAGTATAAAAAATACTATTACAGACTTTGAGGTGGATCTCAAAGCCACTCTAATTCATTAATTTCTGCTGCATAAACCAATTGTTTTCGATGCATCCATAGATAAAATTCAAAAGCATTGAGATCGGAGGAAGCTGCAGGTCATGAAACCGTTCCATTCATGCCCATCCATCTTTCATGGTAGATGTCAGCCAGTGCATTGGGAACAATGTGACTAAAATGTGCTGGAGCCCTATTATGAATGAATGACATGCGGCTTTGTTTTAGCAGGGGTACATCCTCTAACACGTCTTGAAGTTTTTGTTTTAAATAAATTACCTGTATACAGCTCCCATAATACGTACTAGAAGAAGATAATTACCTAACAGACAGTCACATATTACACCAGCCTACACATTAATCATAAATGCAACTGTATTGTACCTTGAGAATTTCGACCCGCCCACAAATTTTGATTCTGCAAATTAGTTATTCCATCTTTTCCAAATATTGCCTTATCCGTAAACAAGACTGAAGAGACAAACATTGGATCGGCGGTTTGTGTAATAAACCATCGTTAAAAGTTCTCCCAGTGGTGAGTGATCATAGGATGAAAGACCCTGCACAAATGATTGGTATACAGGAGGTGCACTTGAAATACCTTGCATGCAGTACTTTGAGATGTACAACATGCTAGGGCCACTCGATGTGTGATCATGCATGGATCGTCTTCAACAGCCTGTAGAATGTGTTCTTCGTGATCAGGCTTACAAACGGATCCCGGTCTTCCTCGAT